GACCTCTCGGTGGGGTACACAGCCTGGGCAGATGAGCCAAGAGCGGCACTGTCCTCAGGGAGTGCATGGCCAGGGCACGTTAGGAGACTGTATTCAACACAGATGTGATCAGCAAACTTCAGAGGCTGCACTGTTTCATCCCATTATTAGAACATTTAAAATTTGAAATGCAAAATCTTCTCTGTTGAATCCTTCCATTACAAGAAGGGATGTGTTTATTTGCATGGCTGAACGTTTGCAGATTAAATTCATTCAACGCAAAATGCAACCTGGCCTGGCAGAGCCGCACCTATGAGGACACTGATGACAGCTGTGGTGGCTGTTGGCACACCAGGCTTAGGTAAGCAGGGGCCCTTGTAGGTCATGTTGCATGTCCCACCACGTTCAAGCTGTTATTCAAGTGCTTGGAAGAAAACGCATTCATGTAGAGCATCAATCTCAAACCTTCTACTGAGCCACAACCAATAGGACTGGCCAAGTAAAGTATAATTTAGATGTCTAAAGGTATAAATGTCTAAACTTTGAGAAGAATGAAAGCAAATCAGTGAAAAATATAAATTTATCTCTTGATTAAAATGAGGCAGCCACTGTGTATTAAACAAGGAAAAGGTCAATACGGGATCAAATTTTGACATTAAACCTATTCAGTCCTTTCAGATGTACAGGAGTAAATGCTCAAAAGTGTGAGTCAGCAAAACAGAATCAACATGCTAAAACCCATACTTTTTATTCATTTTTACATCCACTGAAATATTCTTTTTCTACCTCATTACATAGTACAGACACATTCAGAAGAGAATTAGTCTCTTTTGCACTTTAATGAAGCATGAAACATAACAAAGTCAGAAAGCAATCAAGTACTCGGGGAACAGCGATGTTCTTGCGCGGTGGTGATAGAAAGAATTTGGCACTGACCCTGAATAGTGCTGCCATTACATTTTTGCTTGGTCTTTTTTTATAGGATGAATAAATCCAGCGTTGTTGACGTTCATGGCTGCTAACAGCAAACCTCCCCTGGAGACTCCTGGTCTGATGGAGATCTGGGCTTCAGGCTTGGTGTAGGGATGATGGAGCTGTGAGCTGCACACTTCCCCAGGTTTTCTTGTGAGTTGCACGTCTGGGCAGGCAGGCTGCTGTGCTGCTTCTCCAGCCTGTCCCAGCGAGGCTGGAGATGCGATGCAGTGTTGCTGGTCCTCAGCCAAGGTGCCAGAGAGCTGGTGCAATGGGATGCCTCGTGGCAGGCGGGGGTGAAGGTGTGGCAGCTAGCAGATGCATCAGAGGGGGAGAAGAGCATCATAAGGATGGAAATCTATGGGTTAGGAGGAGTATGGTACCAGGCAAAAAGAAAGGATGCTTGCTTATTGCTAAGTAGTAATAGAAAAGAGACTTGCCCTCCAGCCGCTTTCAGTCTTGGTCCTCTGCCTCAATCCCATCCTCCTAAAAACCAAAACCTGTGGCAGCCCAGCTGTGCTCTGACCAACATAGGTGGAGGGAAGGAGAAGGCTTAGCTTGGGGTAGCAGTCTCTGCCGTGCTAATGCAGGGTGTGGATGTTACAGTGCTGCTTTTAGGGATGTTTATGGCAAGCTGAAGCCTGGTACTTGTGCTTTGCTGGTTGGGTTTAGCCCCAGAGAGGGAAGACTCTGGTTTTTTGCACAGGGGTTCCTGTGCCACTGGGAGGCTTGACACACCTCCAGCTGCAGCATGTCACAGAAGATATCCACACGCTTACTGCTGATGGATTTTCAAGGGCAAAATGTTGTGATTTGAAGAAGAAGAAAAAAAAATTGAGTGCAGTAGCAATGAGTCCTTATTGGTTTTATCTCTCTAACCTTCAGGGAAGCAAGAGAGCACATCTGGCAAGCAAGATGGCTAGAAAAACTGTTCAGCAACAGCAGTAGCTGTGCAGGTGCCTTATTCTGCTGATGGCAGGTTTCACAACATACCTTTTCTGCTGGCAGTGTAGCCCCTTCCCCAGGGACCCCTGCAGCAGCCACGAACACACACAGTATCTCGTGTCACCGTGCCAGGCAGGGAGCTGCAGAATATCAAGTAGTGGCAGAATAAAGAGCTAAATTACTCCTGATTTTGGATGAAGCTGCTCCGCAAGGCTTCTGCATTTTGTTCACAGGTTTTCTGTTGCAGCACTACTTGGTATGCAGTTCATACAGTCCACTGAAACACAGAACGTGCTTCAGCCGTCACACACACATATTGCTGTGGGGCTGCTTGAGCCCAGCAGCTGCCAGAAGCTCCACCTCTGTGTTTGGTTATTCTTCCTAGCTGAGAGGTTTGGATATGATTGAAGGTGAATAAAATTTCACCCAGGTCTGTGTCCTACCAAGCACAACTTGGCAAAGCAGCTCATGTGTGAGAGACTCTGTTCTATTAAACGACTTTAGGTTGAAGTGTTTCACAGCAAACCCCACACAGCTATAGTTGATTGTAGAAGGTGCACTAAACATACAGCCAGCCAAAAGCTGCAGCCTACAAGTGTGCCACAGGGAAGAGGCACTGAATGTGTTTCCCACCCGTGGCAGGTGGAGCAGCAGCACCCAGGAGCTCCCCTGCCATGGGCTGGCAGCCCCACAGGTCCGGCAGCCCAGGTGCACATTGGGGACCCCACAGATTTTACAAATACAAGGTTGTATTCATGGAGCTCCGTCTGCTTATGGGGAACACGCTGACCAGCCCAGTGGCAAATCTAGCTTTGCCAGGTTTTCCTCATCCAAAACTCCTGACTCATCTGCCACCCTGCCCATCAATCCTTGGGCAGGAATTGCAGCAGGAGCAGCACGACGAGGCTACAAGACAACCATTGTTTCCTTAGAAGTCTCTGGTACAACAAAAGGTCTGTGCCTGCTCTGGTCTGGTTCCAGTGGAGCAGCAGGCGTGGGATCAGAGGAGCAGATGTCTTCAGTTGCAGCCGGGGTAAGCTAATTGTGGAGCTGGCAAGCATCCCCTGCCTATTCGAACCTGCCAGCTGCAGGATCAGCAGCGATATTATAATTACACGAGTGCTGTTGCTTGCTCCAGTACCTGATCTACTTGCTGAAGAAACATAAATTTGAAACCAACACCGAAGGGTTGCTGCTATGTTTTAAGTCCTTGGATGACTTCAAAATGAAGAGGATTTGTATTTCTGTTCCAGCAGTTTTGTTCATCACAAAGCATCCCCAGCACAGGGGCACCTCCACTGTTATTTATGCCTTGGTCCAAGTCCATTTCCATGTTGTTATGCTCTCAGCAACAGGCACCTTTCTGGAGGGGAGGAAAAAACTCAGCATAAGCTGATGCTTCCTCTTGATGCAATCTGGGTGGGCTGGAGTGAGAACAGCCACGACCTGCCAGGAGATTTTCCAAGATTAATTCCAGCGTATCAAGCCCAGACTGCCACCAGCCCCACAGCAGGCAGGGGAAACACGACAGAGCCTGATGTGCTCTTCCCCATGCACTGTGATTTCAGGAGAAATGATGGGTGCTGTGGGCTTTGTTTGCAGCCTGAAAACTCAAATTCATTTCACTTCTCTGATTGCAGCCTGAATTGAGTGGAGGCCTCCAGAGAGGTTCCTGGGAGGTGACAGAAGGGTTGCCTGTGACTCCTACAGCCCCAGTCCCCAGCCTTGTGCCTGTCACTGGAACAATCAGCATAGCTGTGCATTCCTGCAGGTTTTACAGCAAGTTGTACCTGCCCTTGCTAGGCACTGTGTGTTGCTCTATGTTGGAGGGGGAGTCAGCACAGTGTGAATACAGGGACCACTTCATTCCTGGGAAGCCCTTTTTGAGGATGCTGCTCCCAAGAAGGCAGCACCGTCCACAGGGGAACATACCCAAGGGCAAAACTCCTTGCCTGTATCCCTGATTTTCTCTTCATTCCAGCAGTTTCTGCCCAGTAGCTGCAGCACCTCCCTGAAGACCTGAGGGCTTCCTTACGATAGCCCTCCTCTGACACCCTCTGGAAAAAATATAACGAAGTCATCTCTTGTTTTGAGCATCTGACACCAGCTTTCCTTCCTTTCCCAGCCTCCAGCAGCAAAGCAGTGAAGTGCACACAGCCAAAAGGTCTTTTTTCTCAGATATCCCTGAGTCGCTGTTGAGCTACTGGAAAGTGAATGGTCTCAAAGCAAAAAGTGTGTCAAATTATTTTCCTGCAGGTTTTCTGGCATTCTGAGTTTTATATTTTAAAGTTGAGGGTGGAAGGATGTTTCCACAGGTTTTTGCATTTTACTGCCAGCAGAAAGATCGCTTTAGGGACTAGGTGATGAGAGCAGCACGGAGGATTATGTTTCCCTTCCTAATACAAGATTCATGCCTGGTCTGTCTCTCCTTACACTCCTGGAGTGCTGGTGCAGGCAGTCCACTCCAGGAAGCCTCTCCAGGTGCCTGGGAAGGGGCAGTGGGCTCTGCTGTGGCCTTTCAGGAGAGCTTTATTTTACCTGCTCATCCATCACAGCTGTTGGCATACTTTGTTAATATCAGGGGTCACACCATAACAGCTTTCATTTGGAAATTTAATTTTCCTTTGAGAAACTGCTAATTCTTTTCTAGATGCACAGAGTGAAAATGAGTAATTCACCTAGCGTCGAGGGAGAGATGAACTGCTGTCCAGCAAAGGATGACCCCTCCCTCTGTGCCACAGAGGCAATTGCTGGCCTTTTTGGGTAAACCAAAGGAAATGGGCTCTGTCCTCCTTGGTCCTTTCAGATAAAAACAAAGCTTGAGGCAAGCGAGGGAGCAGGAGGGTTTTCCGATGATACAGTGATATGGTGTTGACAGTGATTTGTGCAGTGTGTAAGAGGCCAGCCCTACTCTGAAAAATGAGACCCTGAATGAATAAATCATGGGCCCTCTCTTAGTAACTTGACAACTCAGTCCAGCCCTCTGGGTGGTGGGAGCTGGCCCGAGCTCTGCATGCGGGGAGGGACTCCTGTTGTCCGGAGCCTTTTTAAGGGCAGGGTCAGCCCGCCACCGGCTTAGGAGCTTCTCTGCTGGGCGAGTGCTTTGGTGGCATAGCGGGGAGCCTTGCTGCACAGCGTGGGACCATGGAGGGAAACATGCACCTCCTCCAGGTCATCCGCAAGATGCATTCCCAAATCAACAAGCTGGAGAGGGAAAACAGGGTCCTGAGAGGAGAGCTGCAGGTCTGCGGGCAGAGAGCTGTGCCACTGGAGAGAGAGGCAGCAAGAGGAGGTGGGAACAGCAGCATGAGAAACCTCACCAGTGATGGGGAAGGACCAGCTGGCTCTCCAGCATTCCTGCACAGAAGCATCGTGGCTGATCCTGCTCCAGCACCAAAGGAGCAGACAGGTACCGAAGAGCCGGGGCTGTCCATGGCTCCCATTTGTGCTGCCCATGCAGGATCTCCCAGCCCAGCTGTTGTATGTCTGCATGGAAGGGGAGATGAGCCAGATGTTTAGTTAACTTGATGGAAGTGCTCTGGCCTCCTTCAGTGCCCACACCCAAACCCACCCTAACCAGTGTCTCACTCTGTGATCTATTTAAGGGGGCACCTGCATCCCCCAGGCTGAGCTCAGTGGAGTGTTTTGCTGCTGCTCAAGCAGAAATCCACTCAGAGTTCAGTTTCTATTTTTTAAGCAGAATTTGATTTAGTGCTTTGACTTTTTGTGGGCATGGACTATCTTGCTCATGCCTGTCCCCTATCTTTTCCAGATAGAAAAGGACCAACAGTTGTAATTGTGCTGTAATCTCTCTTGCCTTAGTAGAAGATGAGAAAAACTCTACAGATAGTAACAAATAGTGATGGGTTGCATACATCACACCAGATGTGCAGTTTCTCTTTGCAGTTAATGCAGTTAGTTTTGGCTGAGAGAGGGGCCGATATATAGGAATACAATCTCTTCACAGTTTTATCAGAGGGGAAAAATGAAAATTTTCCTCAGTTATAGAAGTGTGTCTGGGACTTCTGGAGGATTTAATGAAGCAGGAAGAATTAGAGCAAAATGTTGTTTGGTGGGAAGTAATCTAGAATTGGATGCAGTTATTGGCAGGGTCAGGCTGTTAGGCATTGTATATGCTTGAGGCCTGTCACCTCCTTTTCTGAAGTCTGTCACGTCCAGTCCACTGGAAAACTGCTTCACTAACACAATTTCTTGGCATTAGATACCACCATGACCGTGCGGCGCTACTCCACGGCTGCACCAGCACCCGCTCCTTCCAGCACGAGGTCTCATCGGGCTGGCAAGAGGCCTCTGAGCAATGGGCTCCCGGGCACTGCCCAGCCACCAGCCCCTCCGGCCGCAGCACAGATCACCAGTGGAGAGGAGAAAGGGCTCGAAAAAAACCCATCAAACTGTCTCTTCTACAATCATTCCAGCAAAACAGAGCTGTTTCGGGAGCATGTCCATAAGTGTAGGTAGGTTTGGTTTGCCTTCACAGCATTGCCTGCATGGACAGGTTGCAGGTTTCACTTAATAGCATATCTGGACATTGCTATGGGTTTTAGTTAGTTATCAGCAAAATTGTTTGAATGTATATGGGCTTTGAGCAGACAGGAGACCTCTTTTGGGTAAGTTGCTCCTCCTTGCAACGCATGAAGATTGCTGGTGTTAGCAGTTTGAACTTACTATTGAGAGGAGAGGCTGAGGGGAGAGGGAATGGGGTTGAAATCTCTCCTTTAAAGTCAGGCAGAGTTTTTCAGATTGATGTGTTGTTCTGACAGGCTAAGCTTGAAAGGGATTTTTAAACTCTGAACAAAAAGCATGGAGATATCAAGGAACTCTGAACTATGCTTTTGAAAGCGTGATTAATGTGGCTCGTGGATTTAGATGTACTGTATCATATTTCCCTTGTAATTGAAGCATTACAAGTTAATGTTTTCAGCCTTGAGAAAAATGCTCTCAGGACAGCTTCTAAATTAAGTGAAATGGCTGCTGGACAAGCTCTGAGCATCTCTGCTCACTGATGAGCAGCTTTCCAAGACAGGGCAACAATCAATGGGAGAAGCACCAATAATGAGCCCCGCTCGCCTTGTCGTGCTGGTCTATACACCCTGGGAATCCCTGTAGATTGATGGTTTTAGTGCTGATCATGCCATGCTCAAAAGAAAAAGAATCCGAAAGGCCCCAAGGTGTGTGTGTTTGAACAGTGAGAAGTCTGTGGGCCGGCCAGCGCATACGTGTCCCAGGGCAGGACTCCAGAGGCCTCAGTTCGGGGGCTGCACAGCTGTAGCAGGTTGTGTTGCCTGCACTGATGTACCCACACACGTGACATGTGTTGACATTTGGTGCCACCCTCACACAGCAGCGCATCCTGAGAGCAGGCCAGTGCACAGCACCTCACGCTCCCCGTGCAAACCCAGTTAGGAGCCCAGCCTCGCTGAGAGCCTGGAGGGGACAACAAGGTCAAGTTTTCATAGGCACCTGGGTTTTCTTGTAAGGACATTTGAGGGTCAGATGTTTTACAGCATTTAAATACTTAAATTTAGTCCCTGGCAGGGAACTCGTATTGTGACCTGTAGCTCTGGATTTCAGCATATGCTCCACTGGGTTCAGGGAAACTTAAGACTCAGTGCACATGAACACTTCTGAGAGGTTTGCCCTGAAGCCAGCCCGCGTGGAGAGCGTATGTTAGGGAACACAGGGTCAGCACGCAGGAGCAGGAACAGCAATGGCAAATGCCACTGCGTTCTCATAAGGGGAAAGAGAGCTTTCCAAGCAATCAAAATAGCAGCGTGGGTCTATTACAACTAATGCCTTGGGACCTACAGGTTTAAAAGCACTGCTTACCCAGCGGCCAAAGGAACAGTGCTGATTATTTGGTCACTATCTTTAGAGCTGCCGTGTCAGCTCTGAACAGCAGCGAGTGTGGCACCATGACTCATGTCCACACAGTGTTGGCTGCTTTCGAGAAGAGATGGCTATGGAAAGAGCTTGTCACCTAACCCCCTCAGTAGGTGATAGCCTGAAGCATGAAGCTTTGTGTTTCTTATATCAAAAAAAGTTTAATATATTTTCTGGTTGTAATGGTGAATGTTTCCATTATTTACACAAAGGTCTAACACATAGAGCAAGCTTAGAAAGCTTTTAGCTAGTAGGGTAATTTGTGGCAATGAATCCAGCAAGCTAATTGAGCTTAATTTTTAACACTGATGACATTTTTATTCTTCCCAGCATGCTGGTCTATGACAGCTTTTCCTATTCTTTATTTATTGTAGATTTGTCACATTTTGCTCCAAAGCTATAATCCTGTATGTGATGCTGAATATTTTTGCTTTAAAATTAACTCTGTAGAAGTATCACCTTGGATTTATCTAGAGTGCAGTTGCATCCAAGTAATAAAATAACAGCACTGCTAACAAATCATCACTAATTTGCATGTCTGCAACATTTTCATTCATACATGCTAAAGCATTATTTACACCATCTGATTTCCACTTTTTTTTGGTAAATAAAAAAAAAAAAGACTAAATATTTGAATACATTAGGGAGGATAAGAGAGGCTGGGAACTGTCCTCAGGGCTATTATAGTAAAATTACAAAAGGTACAAGACCAGTTTGGTACAAATGTCACGACTGGGGGTTTCAGGCCTGATGGTTTCACCTTCCCTTGGGACAGGTCTAATTAGCAGGTGAGAAGGGACAAGGAAATTGCAGGGGGCCTCTGCCCTGCAGGACACCCCCCAGTAACCATCAATCAACACTTGCAGTTTTGTGATTTTCCTTTCTTGTGCTCCTCAAGGGCCTGAGTGAGCTGACAGCAACCACAGAGGACAGTCAGAATGAAAACTAAAGCTCTGCAAAACGCAAACCATTTACTTGCCAAACCAACCAGTTTTGGGACAAATAAAGGAGCATGCTTCTCCCTCTGCTTTCACAGCCGGTGTAATTTACCACACGCACACTCGCTGCTCAGAAACCACTGCTCTCACACCCACTTGCAGTAGCTGGGTACTGATGCACATAAACATGAAGCCATGGAAGGCCCCCCAGGGTCCATGTGGGTGCACGTGCACCCCAAGGGTTCTGTACACGTGTAGCTTCATACGTATGCATCAGGCACCAATCAGGAGATGTGAGGCTCCATGGCAAAAGGCAAATTCTTCCAGCAGATGGATAGACAGGCAGACAACACTATGCTTCCTCCTTTGGGAAAACCGTGTGAACCCCATCCCAGTGGGGCATGAAATCCTGTCTCCATGCAGCATGCGAGTGCTGGAAGCATTTACCTTTTGCTTGCTGGGTTGTTGGGTTTTTTTACTTTCTTTCCACGTTTTATGCATTTGTAATCCTCATAATGATTTCTCATTTTTCTCCAGGGGTAAAGTAAAGGCTGTTAGTTTCCTCTTACCAATGGATATGTCATCATATGCTGAAAAGCAAGGCTCCCTCCCAAGCCCACAAAATCAGAGAACAAAACAGTTAACCACCATCGCTGAAAAGGATATGTGAGCTGGTGAATTTTTAAAGGCCCACTGATTCTTGAGATAAATTGGCCTTAAATGATAGCTGTGTGTCAGGTTCCTTCCCTGCAAAACGCTTTGGCAGGATGCCTGCACAGAGAATCACCCAGCCTGTGTTTCGGGTCACTGCCCCGATGTTTAGCATGGAAATGGAAGCCCCAACAAAGGCGGCTGGAAGCCTGTACACCGTGATGAAGCCACATGATAGCAAAGGTACCTCCATGAAGTAGCTTCTGCACAACATGTCTCAAGGATCTCTTACCTTAGGACTGCTGTCAACAGGGTGTTTGTCACAAAAAGCAGAAACTATGTCACTGCTTGTGTTTGCTGATTCCCTTGCCAGAAAGGCATTTGATGCAGATGACAAAATGAGCTATGAAAGAGCCTGTGAAGTTTTCTCTGTATATAAAACTTTAAAACTTCATGATACCGATACAGCAAAATTAAGAAGGCATTACAGAGTCAGTTAACATTACTCTGAATTTCTGTAAAGCTTGGCAGTGACTGTTTATGACCATTTGGGGTTCACCTCTAAGAGAGCTCAGGGGAGACTAAGTACTTAGCAATATGAAAATGTGACTACAAACCTGATTCTGACTTGGTGTGTTCAGCCAGCCAGAGACTAAAGACTGTACACCAAGCTAAAATTGTAAATATCAGTATTTTTCAGGAATGGCTTCTCAGCATGTATCAGATCAAAAATCATTAGCAGAAATTCAGCAAACAGGTGCAAAATAAATGAGAGAGAACTACAGACAGCTTGTAAAAAATGAGAAGTGCTTGTTAGTTCTAGTCTTATGAGTAAATACAGTGTCCCACATGTTTATTTTGATTGCAAATATTTATGGAACCAGAATACTGCACATTGCTATTTCTTTATGTACAGGCAGCACTGATTGAATATTGTACAGAGAATGCATGAACAGTAGATGTTTGTACCAATAACTTTATGGAAGATTTTAATCTCATTGTCTATTCTTAAACTCTTGAACATGCAAAATCAGAAATCTGGTGGAAAGAAAAAAATCCTTTCTGGATTTTTCTGTGATGATGTACAAAAATCTTTGCTCCTTTTTTCATTTTGGAATTCACCATGTTTTGTATATTCAAGAATATTTTTAATATATTCTTACCAATGAAGTAATAATTTTAATTTCACTGCTATTTTATATATGGATTTTTGTGTTCAGCTTGGGTCCATACAGAGTTGCATTGTAATTTCAGAAGTAATGGATCAGTGACTTCCAGTAAATAAGGTTACAGTTTGGAAAGTTTACCTAACAGCCTATTTTAGAAAGGGAAGTGCTTTTTAAATGTTTTATAGAAAGCTTCATTGTCAAAAACTAGACACTGCATATGTGTTCAGTTAAGTACCTAAATCCAGTTGATTTCATTTAGCAAACAACAAACATCCTTCTTTGCAAATCTGGCCCCTAGACCTTTAAGGTACCCAAGCTTTTGGCAATTCATGTTTGAACACCAGATTTAATGGGATTTAGGAATCCATGTGCTTTAGATAGATTTCAGAAGTCTCACCTGTTAAGTTTTCTAAGCCTCAGCTTCCATGAAGCAGCAGTGGGAATTCTCTTCTCCCACCCGTTTTGTGTCAATTCAATGTAGATATATCACTGACAGTAAGACTATGCCAGTGTCAATTGTAGTGGACTGATCATTTTGATGTCACACAAATACATATACCTTTGTGTATGGTCAAGAAATTGAACTCACCAGACATTTATTAGAGATATAACGGTCTTAAAACTTCTGTATATTTACAGGGAAAAAGAACAGAAAAAGTGAAAGTGAAAAGAGGGAAAGGAAACAAAGTAGTCATTGATAAATAGAAGTCAGTATATTAATGGAAATATTTATTTTTGAATTATGTTTTTGCAGCCTTTAGCAGTGCCCACAGATTCAAGAACACATGATGATGCACAGGCACATTAATATTTAAAAGCAGTTGTGCAGATTTGATCTAGCTCTGCATCTCCAAGAGAACCAGATTGTAACAGAGGTCACAGAGAAACCACTAAGCACTTCAGTTTTACCACAGTACAGCATGAAGTGACTTACCATTGAGCACTTACTGCCAATTAAAACATTCCATTATTAAACATTCATAGATTGTTCAGTGCAGAAAGGGCAGGTATAAGCAAAGCGAGTGTTAAAATTTGGACAGAGAGCTGCAGGCAGCAATTAAGCCACAGTCCTTTCCTTTCTTCTTCCCATGAGGATCCATACAAGTTCAGAGGAGCTCTGGGCTTCTACCTAATAACACTCTGGAATATATCTATAGTAAACCCTGGAATATATACTAAACTCTATTCACTGATGGCCAGGCTTGTTGGACAATTTCCAGTTGGAAACTCTTCCTTTCAGAGAAGTGGTCAGTGGTCTTCAGCCGCACAGGTGCAGGACTTCAAGAGCAGCTGAGACAGCAAGAGGTTACCTCCTGCACTGGCACTGATCACTGAGACACATATACTCCTGTGTCACACTTGGGGCTAAATGGCTTATATATCTTCACAGCAAATGCCAATGAAGACAGAGTCCACCACTGCCATTTGTTACATGACATGTTCTCAATTCCACCAGTAAAACTAGCCAAGAGTAGGGAAATGTATCGCTAGGCTGGAGACAAAAAAGTTTTATCAGAGTTGGTTCTCGACCTACATCAGTGAATAGTGCCAATTTAACTGTTACTTCACATTTACATTGCTGTAAGTGAGAAAGAAATTGCGTATTACCTTTCTTTATGAAAGTCTTTTTAAAGCTATGGTCATAATACAGAAACACAAAGCCATGAGCACTGGACCAGTGGGGAGGAGTTACTAAGAGTGAAAGTGAAATTTAGACGTTGCATGTCTGAGGGTAGGACACAGTCAAATGTTTAAAATCTTGATACCCAACTTAACAACAATAATCCTTAGATGCATCTTCACCTACAGTAGATCTCACCCTCGCCAAAATATTGAACAATGCCCAGATAGCAAAATAAATAAATAAATGGATAAGTCCTGCATTCGTAAAACTGCACTCTCCCACAATGGCACTGCGCAGCTGTACCCTGGAAAGTGCTAATGCCAAAGGGTGTGTCTACATCAACATTTCAGACGGGAAGTCTGAAGTTGGGAGTACCCTCCTGAGTTAATTTCCTGGTCAAACCCACTTACCTTTGTTTCACATTGTAGAGAGGTCTCAAAGCACACAAATGGATCTCTTCTGGATGAAACTAAGTCAGGGGATGTGTTTATAAGGTGCTCCAAAAGCTAACAGGTATTCAGTGCATGGGATCACACGAGCAAGCCCTCTGAAATACCTGTAGAGTGAACAGCATTGGTGGTTTTGCTCTATATGTTCTCTTCTACTGGTCTGCACTTGCTACATAGAACTGTAGAGCACGGGAGGCATCATCTCGGAGATTTGAAAATAAAATCTAACCAGGTGAAACTTCATACTGTTATACTATAGAGAGGAGATGCCTTTCATCAGTCTTACCTCTCTGTCTGGCGTTTAAAGTGCCTCACTCTCACCGCAGACACTGAGGTGGAAATGTGATGCTCCAGACTGTAACAGATGAGTAACATTACCATCTTCTCCAGTGAGTTCTTCCTCAAAGTTCAAATGGTTGCATCCTTAGACAATGAATCCACACCCAAAGGTAATAAATTGGTGTGCAGGGTGCACCTCCTGTCAAAGTCACCCAGCACAAGCACATTCCACCTACTCGAAGCTCCGTTTATAGGAGAGCACAATTTATGATGTACTGAATTGTCCACAACCTTTTTATCTATTGTATTTTTGCTCCTGTATCTTAAATCCCTAACAGATGAACTTCAATTTTTCTCTGCCATTACTGATCAGGCATAATCTAAGAATGTAGCAACAGGGAACTAATTCAGCTGAGATGCCTCTGACAACAGCTAAGTGATGCTGATCTTTAACAGTGTTATTTTCAATGACATTAACAACATTAATTCAGCATTGACAGGCTCCCTCTGTAGCCTTGAAACTTTATTTTTGTTTAGTTGGAGTGAGAAAATGAGAAATAAACCTGCAACTTGTTTGAAGGTCTCAGAGAGTTCATAGGCCTTGAACAGTCCTTCAGTGTTGTGATGAATTCAATGCAATGTAACTGCACTATATGCTTGTCCTACAATCATCTAAGTACAGCACAGACAGCTGGTTCAGAGGTCGCATGATTTTTTTTTTTTTACTGTTGGGTGCTATGAAGTACACAATATTTTCTCTTCAGGATGGAAAAGTACAGGTTGTATTAGATCTAGTCTGTACTTCTACTGCATATTGCCTTTACCCAACAAAAGACTTGTTAAGAGATTAAACTGTCATCACAATTAAATGTAGATCGAACTCTGCTAAGCTTACATGGGGAAGTTCTTGGTTGTGCTGAAGTCAAGACATATGGTCACTTCAGGGAATGTTTCTTTTATGGCAAGTGCTCATTTGAGTAGGAATATTTCTAGCTGGATGAGTCACCTCTTTCTCAATTGCTGCATGAGATACTGAAGTGATTTTTACATAGAGATATTCAAAGACATGGCAGAGGCTGAAAAATACATCTTCAAAGCATCTTGCAGTGGTTTCCTTCTCCAGCGGGATTATTATATGGCACGTGTAGATTAATTAAAAAAAATATCCTCCACTGTTTTTGCTGAAAATTGATGAAATGTCTTTTTTTTTTTTTCTTAGGTTTTTTTTTTTACAAACTCATGCCATACTTGATATACAAAATCAGTCCCACAACAGCAAAATGCAATAAATCACAATAAAATTGCTCTGTTTAATGTAAAAAGTAAAAAACTTAGAGTAAAGTGCAAAAATTAGAGCGAATGTTTCTAATCTGTGGCTCTCCAGTAGCAGGTTTGACTCTTTCCTGGTTTAGAGGATGACGACCATCATCTGCATGCTGGTTGCCATGGAGACTCCTATCGCTTTTGAAGTCATAAGTTTTGCCTGAAAGGAAACACTCCTTCAGTGTGAGTTTTTAATGACTGTAGAGGTTTCTGTTTGTCAGCACACCATATACCAGATTAAATATCATGTCTAAGCAGGTGGGAGGGAAGGGAGTAAATTATTTCCTAGTAATCAGTGACAACATATTTACAAACCATACAAATAGAATTACAAGACTTGCTGCACTAGATTAGACTTATTTCATCAAATCCATTATTTCTCTTTCAATATCAGCTACTTCAAGGGAGAATGAACTTTGATCACAGAACATGAGCATGGCAAGAAAACCTTCTGACTCCTGCAGGAGACTGGCTTGAGGACTGCCAGGCTGCATAGACAGTGAGGTTTCTCTTTCTCAGGTTTGAGTCGATAAGGGCTTCCCCATAACTACAAATAATAACAGCTTTTTCTAGAAAAGATGTGTACATGAATAATTGGGTCTGTCCATGTGAAGAGCTGTCTAATACTTATCTGTTCCGTTTGGACTGCCAGAAAGACTCTGAGGTTTGACAGCTATCTCAGCCTATTTCTCCCTAATGCACAGTTAACACCTTGGATTGCTCTGAAGGTGAATTTGTTTGGCCCTAAACAGTGTGCAGAATGGTTAGTCTCACGAACATGGACATGTTGGAATGAATTTCTGGCTTGAATAAAACAGTGGTTATTCAGAAGAGGAATATAACAAATCTGCAAGATTAAGCCTCAGTTGTTTCATAGTTCTAGGTTGCTAGATGGCAACTAAATGACTACCTGTTAAATCTGCAATTTTTGCTTGATTTCTTCTGAGGCTGTTTTGTGCATCTGTGGGACCATCAATATACTTCATTGCAATGGCTGGGGTCTGGTCCTTCTCTGGCTGAATCTGAGTAACTGAAAGAACAGAAAAGGATATTTAATTGAGTTGTGTTAACATTCATTTGTTCAAGGAGGGAAAGATATGTTGAGTTGACGCTACCTGGCTGATGACAACTTGGTATTGTTTCAGTCCTGCCATCATGAAAGGACTGAACAGATTCATGGCCAGAATCTGAGTCTTTCATTGGCCTTCCCATAATCTCATTCTCACTTGCAGTTTTATTTCTAATGAGGAAGTATGTGTGCATTTTCCCTTTGCCTTTTACTTCTATTTCTCCTCTTTCGGTCATCTCAAAATTCTTGTATTTTAGGCATCTAAAATATCAGAAGCAAAATGACACATGAAAATTCAAGATTAGCAAAAATCACACTGATGTTTTAGAAGAGCTATTGTAATCTAAGTAATCAAATCACAACAGTCCAGGAAAAACAGTATTGATCTGTGAACATCTTGTTTCAAATGTTTATTCAAGCCTGCTGTGCTTTTATAGTTTTACACATACAGTCTGATCAAAAATCAATGAATCACATAGTCAAATACTTCAGCATGGTGGAGGGTTCTTATCGACCAGCAAATAGAAATTTAACAACTGAGGCAGCCAATATCAGTTAGACAGAACTATCTCCAGTCATTTCATCAAAGGCAGCAATCGGGTTTGTCAAGCATGATTTACTCCTGGTAAATCCAGACTGGCTATTCCCAATTGCCTTCTTCATGTGTCAAAAATTGGCTTCCAAGAGGACTTGATTTTCACTGGGACTGACATGAGGCTGACCAGCCTATGGTTCCCCAGCCTATCCTCCTTGCCATTTTTCAATATAGGTGTAACACCTGGCTTTCTTCAGTAGCTACAGTGCTGATCTTCATGACCTTCCAAAGAGGACAGTCAGCAACACTGTAATGCCATCATCACCCAGCTCTCTCATTACTTTTGGAGACATCCCATCTGCTCCCATACACTTCTACAGATTGAAATTCCTCAAAAGACCCCTGATCTGATCCTCTTCCAATGCTGGTAATTCACCTACTCTTTGAACTCTGACTCTAGGTTCAGGGACCTTGAAGACCTCATCAGTGAAAACTGAGGCAAGGGAGGCCTTGAGTAACTCAGCCTATATTCAGGGCACTGTCACGAAATCATCTGCCACAGCAGGTCCACATTTCCATTTATACTTTTCTGCTAACACAGCACAATCTCCTCTTACTGCCTTTGAACATTCCTTGCCCATTTCAACGCTAGTTGAGCTCTGGCTTTCCTAATCTCATTGCTATGTACCCAGACAATGGTTTTGTATTCCTCCTTTGTAGCTTGTCTTCACTTCCACCTCTCACATACGTATTTTATGTGTACATAAAATTCTTGAAAATGTAGTATTTAATTTTTAGTGACATGAGTTTTAGAAAAGTAAATTACTGCATTAATAGGATAGTGGTTTATCCTTAGTAAGTGCAAATAAAATTGTTATGCCACAGATTGTGCTCATTCAGAGATTTTAAAGGTTTTGTAACGCAGGATGTCAAATTAAATATTCTGACCGTCTTTCTGGCATCCGCATCACTCTGTTGGTACTTGCAAATAAGCTATCACAAATTTTTTTTCCCATATTTTTCTCTCTAGGATTGAGACTCTCAAACCTCTGTCTCCATATACAAGTGCATTTGAAATAAACAGAACCCACAAAACTCTTTGCAAGCAGTGATTTTTTCTTTTAAGTAAGCTGTATAAATAAGTGACTAAAGACAGCACCATCTACACTGAAAGCTACAGCTGTCAAGGCAGTGGGTTTTGGTATGGCTTTTAACAGGTAAAGTTTCCATCATAGTTACTCACTGATAGGCACTGGAACTTAGATGAATTTTACTCGGGACACCGTGACTCTCCATCCGGGAAGCTATATTCACTGTGTCTCCAAACAAGCAATAACGAGGCATCTTTTCTCCAACAACTCCAGCCAAGACAGGACCTGTATGGATCCCAACTCTAATCTTTACAAAGACATAAAACACCCCCCAAAAATGTCACTTGTTATTTAACATCTTTCTTAATGCTATGCAGCCACCTAAAACATCCTAACACAACACTGGACACTAGTAAAATATCAAATATCCGCAGGGAGAGGCTCTTCATGAAAAATATACCCATTTGGGCCTTGCCCAAAGTCACAGAGGAGTCAGAGGAATTCCTATGATGTCCTGCTGCAATACATTAACCAGAAGCCCAACCCAAGCAGCAGACAGACGGACATGCATCTTTGCGTTAACAACTTACTTGGATAGGATTTCCAGAAACTGGGTTCTGTACTCCTTTAGCTGCTATTATCATCCCCAAGGCAAAGTTAGCAACTCGCTCAGCATGAGTGGGTACAGGCACAGGGACCCCACCTACTACCATATAGGCATCTCCAATTGTCTCCACCTTTAATTGAGAGGGACAAGCATATCAGCATGCCATATAGATCTTGCTCAGGTTAGTGCTTTGCTGTTTGGGGCTCTTCTTACCTACACAAACTCCCCCCTTCTTCTAAAAGATGATTCCAATCACTAAAGAAGCTAGCACATGTGAGCTTCCTTGAGATGCCAATCCTTTCCTTGACTCCATACTAAAAATTTCGGCGTATTCTGTCCCTGCTTACTTGACCCATTTTAGATATTAGTGTGAGAGTCCCTAAGGCATAAGGGATGCTGTATAAGTGTCAGACTTCTTGCTTTCCTCTTACCCAGGTCAGACCTATATGCAAAGAGTTATCCCCAGGCACAGACTCCTGAGCCAGGAGACTATCTGATAGCTGAATGCTATTAATTAGATCTAATTCACAATTGGTATTAAAAGTGTATTCCTTTTTTAAAAGAGATTTCTTTTTAAAAAGTCACAATAAAGCAAGGGAGTCTATTCACTGGTGATTATTATTAAGGGGTTCACATGAAATTAAGAAACCTGCAATCTTCAGGATGCCAGAGAATGCAAAGCATGAACTAAGCAGTTTGGGAGCATCCCTCCTTACAACCAGCTGTTTTCCCACAGTATGTTGCAGCCTGTGAGAGAAGTGCTGAAGGGTTCATCCTCCTTCAAGCATCCAGTCTCCTTGAAGTGCATGATAAGGCACCTGAGAAATACTCTGCGATTTGTTCCTGTACCAGAGATTTCACTGGGAGTGAAATAGCCTGTTTGAAACAGAATTATCAAATGTTTAAAATTCACTGTAAGGAAATGTTTAAAATTCATGGTAAGGAAATTTTCTAAACTGCTCTTATGAGACTTCATTGTTACATTTACCATCAGTAAATAAGAGATCAGTTTAAATTAGATTAACTGGATTTCTTAAAAATGAACACCAATAGGAGAGCAGGAACATAATTTTTTGGTTTTGTTCATTAACATAATGACTTAAAACTGTTCAGCACATTAGTCTTGTAAACTGTGTTCCTGTACATGCCTTCTATCAGACAGCCTACCCCACAGTAATGACAGTAATTCTCTGTAACAAATTAAAAACAACTGTAAAAAGCTACTAATGCAAATAGATACCCTAATTATTTTTCAGCCATAGTAGGAGATCTAATTTAACAAGATTTATTCATAACTTCAGATGTTTATAAGCTTGGGCTGAGTTTCTTTGATCGATTTCGATATTTCATTTCTTTCTCAATTCCCTGAAATAGTAATCTCATTCGCCCTCTCTGTAGCCCACCTAGTAACCTTCAATATTAATAGGAGTTATATACAGGCATCAAAAGGAGATTATTATAGTGACAGATAATTTACTCATGATGGATGATTTAGATAGAATATGATGCTAATTTATTCTAAAATCTGTGGTCCATATCCTGGATGTTTCAATTATTGAATACAGTTTCCTTGCCAAAGCAGAAACGCTTCTGATTTCCCAGTACAATTTATTGCAGGATGAACTGCATGCCTTGCTTGAGCAAGGAATGAATGAGATTTAGATTTCACCCTTTACTATTTCTGCCTTCCTAAATATTTAATGTGCGGGGAACAGACAGAAACTTTGGACTTGCTCTTCAGCTTGTCAATTTTGGGTAGCACTGGAGATGTTAATAACGCTATTATTATATGTCAACCCGGGCTCTGATCCTTTCAGCATGGTTTGGAGACAACACATACATAGTTCTAATCAATGTTCTTTGGGGTCAGCAGAAGATCTATACCATTGCCTAAGATCTCCATGAAGCAAAACAAAGTCTAGGTATTGTTTATAATGTTATTTCCCACCAAAGGAGACACTTAATGACATAGTGACCTACCTACAGCAGGTTGGAATAAAAGAACTAGCAAAATGGTTCAAATTGGTCCATAAACTCAGATATCCTGTCATGTTTGGTAGGAATTTGAGAGAGGAGAGAGACAGAGATGTATGCTAGTGTTAGTGTTGTGGAAAGAGACCATAGCCCATGATAGACATTAGATTCCTCTTCAAAAAATTTAAACATATTTAATTACACCTCTGCATGTTTTTTAGTTTCTCTGTGTGGCCACTACAACTATACAATAATTTACGGTTTATCAAAAATCATGCTGGGGAGAAGATGATTTAAATGCATTTAAAAACAAAAAAAACAAAACAGGAACAATTTTTTTTTCCAGACTATTTCTACAGCCTTTATCGATCAGTACATACCTTGTACACATCATGCACCGTGGTCAGTCTGTCAAACAGCAGGTACATTGAATTTAACATGAGAACTATCTGAATAGGCTCACACTGGGCACAAATGTTGGTAAAGGTCACAACATCGCTGAACAATATAGTGCACTCCTTGAACTCTCCTGTGAGCAGAAAGACCAGTAATAAATACATGTAATGGCTGGACAATCACAACATCTGTTTGAGACCTGTTTGCAAAGATTACCTTCTCATCATTCTTTTAGGACATACGACCTATCAGTTGTAGCACTCATATATGGGTGCTGATACGAAAGAGCGATGTCAGTATAAGAGTATATTGAATATAAGAATCATTGCACATCTCAAACAATCCAGATATTCAAATACATCCCTTTGTCCATCCATATTCAGGATAGACTTAGCTCCTTACCCCTAACTTCATATATGTGCTTACTAAAGCGAATTTAAGCATATTCTAACTTACTATCCTTAGCAACAATAGGAATAATGATGATTCTAGGTTTACATAGCATATAGGAACTAAGAGAATTTTCTAGGAAATACTAATTTCTTTATTCCTTTAATTTTTGGACTCTCATTTCCTTGTATACTCAGGTTAAAAATGAAAGCTCAGTTTACTGTTGAAACACTGGATTTTGTTCCCTGAATGGGCAGCTGCTACCACCTTTCACCTCCTAAGGAACAATTTTGGCAAACAGCTTCCAAAATTTTGTTTGAAAGAACAGTCAAATCTTTATTATCAGCGAGATTAAGGGTCTGTGGTCCTCCTCCTACCACTGAATGTCACCAAGTACAGAATGTACTCCCCAATAATGGCAATGAGGCTGGGCCAGCACCCCAGTCTCTCTATCACGATCACCTGGTGCAGGAATCACAAATGCATCCTGTTCATTCACCTGCCTCAACTCGCTTCCCCTCTTTCAGCTGGTTGGCCACATGCTGAGGAAGCATGGCATAGAGCAGAGCTTCAGTCTTTTTCTTCTCTTCCTCCAGGTGCTTCGACAGTATCCGCAGTTCTTCCTTCTTCCTCTCCAGCTGGTTAGAGAGCTCCATCTCTGCCAGTCGCTGCTGATTGAGAAGAATCAAATCCCTGGTCACGTCATGAGGTGCAATGTCTGCAATATGCATCTGTCGCTCCTCCAGTTCATGCAAAGTGCGAAGCAAAGGTGAGCAGAGATAGAGCATGCACTGCAGGGACTCCATCCAGATCATCTGGCCTGTTTGAAACAAGTGGCGGTAAGAGTTTTCAGCAGCTTGGACTTTCACGTGATGTTCAATATTACTGATGTTAATTTTAGGGGATGAGTTCTAAGGACAGTGGTTTTTTTGTCTGGGTCTGGGTCATGACAGGAATCACTCTGTTTCCTGGAATTACAGGTGGACTTGGTTGGAGGAGGTACACTAGGCAAATAAAGAAATGTCAGGACTCATAAAGCAGTCACTCACGCACTGCAACTGCTATGAGGAGCCTAACCATGCTTCAGGTCCCTCCTCTTCCTGAGGAACCCCCGTGCTCACAATTATCTCTCCTCTCCTCTGCTGCTAGTTCTCAATCTTTTCCTGAAACCAGTCAGTCAGCGTCATGTACACAGCAACTGAGGCTCAAAATGATTAAGTGAAACATTTAAAGTTTTATTTCACAGTGGGCAATATGTGGCCCCAGCAAAGTCAACAGAACCTTCCTTTCTGGAAGCTGGAGCTTTCAGTCACTATGATCACCCAAATAATCAGGTACTTGGTTTCTGAACAGCAATTTAGGAATTCCTTTTCTTTCTCTCTCTCTTACCCCAACCCCAGAGCAAGTGGATGAACAGCTTGAAAACTAACAGGATTAGAAAATCAGAGATATTATATGACAGCATAAGAGGAAGCAAAATTGCACCTGTGACTAGTTAGAAGTTCCTTGTTTGGGTAATAACACTTTTTTCAAGGTCTCCCTAAACTCTTAATTTTTTCTGAATCCCAGGAATACCAGATTTGACACTCATTATGTAAAGGTGAAAGGAGAGAAGGTAAAATTAGGTCATATTATATAGTTCAGAGAAGCAAAATTGAGGCCACAGAATACTTAAACTGAATGTCATTATAGTTAATTACACAAAGCAGAACTATTCCATACTTATTCCTCTCAATAAAAATAAAGCAAATAAGATATCTTTTTTGCTAAAATAATTTTAACTGGTAAACTCTTATGCAACATTTGGGGGGGTGAAGACAGAAGTCAGAATCTGAAAATGTGGCTACAAAAAATGAAAGCACAGCTAACTAATCTATTTTTATCCACATTTGAAACCCAGCCAGTAGCAAATAACTCCCCTCAAATGCATAAATTAAGAATGAATCATGTATTCACATTTTAGGAATCAAAATGCATGGAGGCGCAGGGGAAGCCATTTCTTTCCCCCAGCTGTAGCAGTGTTCTCAGGACTCTGTCTCTAAGCTTCTCCTTCTCCTCTGCCCCTTCCCACCTCTCGCCCAGCAGACAGCTGCCGTACACTGGCAGGAGAGATGCTCGCAGTGTATTGCTGTGGGAATGCTCACCCTGCCTTTCATTGTCTGTACGTGCCAGAGATGCAATCCTGTGAACTGGCATAGCCCGCGCTGGGTGGCTGGGCTTAAAATGTTGTTCCATGTATAGAGTAGTAATTTCTTTAGCAAAGAAAATTCTTAGCAGTGCAAAACGATTCTGTGTTGTGTGCATAGGCTGATGTGTAGAGCTATGGGGAGGTGAGACCTGGACAGTTAATTTTACACAGCTCAGTGTATCTCCACGCTGAGCCTGGTGGCTCCATGAGCAGAAGCTGGTTCTGAGGGCTGGAACAGGTCCCCAGTGAAGTAGAAGGCCACAGCTGAGGGTTGGGGAGATTCACAGGGCACCTGGCATTGAATCCCAACCAAAACCAAGAGTGACAATACAACCATGTTGCAGGGATCACCCCTGTAATGCCTTATATTATGTATTTAGTTCTAACCTCTGCAAAGAAAAATACACAGGGCAGCATTATCATACTTTTTCTGGGAAAGGGGTATGGCTGGGCAGCTCTCTGAGGTGTCTGTAAACAAATGTGCCCAGCATGTGGAAAAACCAGGAGGAACTAGAGGTCTGTGTTCAGTTTCAGGGTTACCACACCATTGGGATCATAAAGGCTTGGTGGGTACTGACCTGGAGTACTGCAAAGGATGAACACAGAGTCTTTAGAAAGGACAGGCAGGCAAGGAGGGGGAGCTGCCTTTTATATGAGAACAAGGGAAATGCATGGAGCTCTGCTTAGGGCTGGATGATGAGCCAGCTGAGAGCTTCTAAATAAGGATTAGAGGGCAGATCAGTGTGGGTGATGTTGTGATGGGTATCTGCTAGAGATGCACTGCTCAGAAAGGAAAAGTAGATGAGACATTCTTTAAACAAGTGGAGGAAGCCTCGTGGTGGACTTTATCTACTTTGATATCTGCTGGACAGACCACACAGCAAGGCACAAGCAATTCAGGAGGTTTCTGGAGTGCAGTGAGGCACTGACACAGGTGAGCTTCCTGACACAAGTGACCAGTAAGCTGATGAAGGGAGGTGCCCTGCTAGACCTGGTATTTACAAACAGTGAAGAACTATGGATGTGAAAGCTGGGTGCAGCCTTGGCTGCCATGACTCTGTGATGGTGGAGTGCAGGAACCTGAGAGGAGCAAACAAGAGTGAGCAAGATTCCAAGCTTGGACTTTGGGAGACTGGACTTTGTCCCATTCAGGGACCTGCTTGGAAGAATCTCATGGGATACAGTCTTGGAAAGAAGAAGAGTCCAGAAGAGCTGGTTGATTTCCAAAGATCTCCTCTTCCAAGTTCAGGAATGGTCTATCCCAATGTGCAGTAGGTCAAGCAAACATAGGAAGAGACAGTGGTGAAAAAGCCAAAACCCGCTTGGAGGTGCATCTGTTGAGGAACAAGAAGGGCTTCTACAGGTATATGAGCAGCAAAAGGAAGACTAGTGAAAATGTGAGCCTGCTGCTGAATGGGGCAAGGGATCTGCTGAGAAAGGATATGGAAAATTTCAAGGTACCCAGTGCCTTCTTTGCTTTGGTCTTTGCTGATAAGAATCACCCTTCAGGAATCTCAGGGCCCTGAGACCAGTGGGAAAGTCTGGAGAGATGAAGATCTACCATCAGCACGGGAGGTTCAGGTTAGTAAACATTTAAACAAATTGGCTATACAGAAGTCCATGAGACCTGCTGTGATGCACTGAGGACTGCTGAGGGAGCTGGCCAGCATCATCGCGAGGCCACTCTCAATTAGTTTTGAAAGTCATTGTGACTGTGGGAGATTTCTGAGGACTGGAAGAAAGTAAGTATCACTCCTATTTTCAAGAAGTAAAGGATGGAGGGACTGGAAAGGCTTGGAGCAGCTGTCATGTAAGGAGAAGCTGAGAGAGTTGGGGTTGTTCAGCCTAGAGAAGACAAACCTCACAGGGAGCTTATCAATATGTTTAAACACCTGATAGAAGGGAATAAATACTTTTCTCAGTTGTATCCAAAGAAAGGACAAGAGACAACGGACACTAACTGAAATGCATGAATTCCATTTAAACATAAGAAAAAAGACTTTTTACTGTAAGGGTGGTTAAACGCTGGAATGGGTTGCCCAGGGAGGGTTATGAAGTCTCCATCCTCGAACATAATCAAAACCCAGCGAGATATGGTCCTGAGTAACATGCTGTAGTTGACCCTGCTTTGAGCGGGGATGGACTAGACAATCTCCAGAGCTCCCTTCCAAACTCAACTGGAGTTGGGTAAATTCTGTGACCCTGTGAATAACTGAGACTAAAGGTGGTTCAGAAAACAATCTAATCCTCCCTTGGCCTTGCCCCTGTTACTCAGGAAATCTGCAAAGATGAGGGGCTTTGCAGCATTAGAAAAACACTGTCTTTCTAAGCCTCTCAAATGGGAACCCAGTTGTTATTTCTGACTGAAAGCCTTCAAAATTGGTGATGTAATAGCAGAATTTGTCTACAAGCATCTTAAAGTACTGTTTCTCAAAATAGAACCATCTAATCCTCTCCTTACTGCACAAAGACAAGGCCATTCATAGGACTTATGTGAAGGCATTAGTTCAACTCCAGCATAATTCCTGGTTTAATATGAACACTTATGCTATTGAAAACAGTGAAGTACCTCTCAGTTCTAGCATTGGCCGTTGCTTCCATGACTCTGGCATCATCTCTCTTCTAGTCTGGAAAACAAATTGGCTGTTGATGAATTTCTGAATGCTAGAGATGTTGAAGGGTACTTCTGGGTGAACAATACTGAAATAGTGATCCAAACAGATGCCCATGGTCTGAAGGCCAGGTACAATCTTCTGAATGCTCACCCCAGCTTGCTTCACTCTGAGCTTAAAAAGAAAATATGGACAATGTGTTATCATTCATATCCTGTTTGGGTTCAGGCCAAGCTATAGCTATCACAGTTTATACATGCACACACACTTAGCCTGGCTATACTACATGGCTTATTTCTGAGCAAAGTTTCTACCTTATTAGTTATTACCACAAAGCTCTGAATGAGTGTCCTTCATAGCAAGACAATGCCCCCAGAAACGAATGTTATTACCCAAATGCTCTTCCCTATCAATTGTTAAAAACAAAACAAAACAGAACTATCTGCTATTATCCTCACTTGCATTTGTGTAGGCCTAACAAACAGCCTTACAGGTAGCTGCAAGAGAACATTAGAGATACCAGAGCATGTCCTGCATTCCAAAAAGAAAATAACTATGGCATAAAACATCTTGGCAAATATTAATTTTCTAATAGACACCATGGGTTACCTTCTCTTAACCATTGCTGTGTAAAGCACTACACAGTAATAATCTATTTAGTCATTCTCTTTTAGCCTGCTGATCATACATGAGCTCTTAACTCCCACAAAAATGTCCACCCTGCCTTCCCTGCTTGTCATCAGTTATTGAAGCTCTGACCTAGCACCAATAATGGGTGAAGGACCTGCCCTTTTTCCACACTAGTAATTTTATCAAATTATGCAGACTGGATGTCTTAAAGGGTTTAAAACTCTGAACTTCGACTAACGTGGACAGTGGCACATAGCAGACTCTGTGCTCTGGAGTCTCTATCGTTGTGATGTCAAAACATGTTCTCTGAGTGGCTGTATTCAGCTTTCTTCTGCTGTCCTCATTTTCTCCTTTATTTGCTCCTGTCTTAAGCTAATATTCTCTGCACAGAACTGGGAGCAAGAGGAACTGTAGCTTGGTGGGAACCCAGGCTAGTTGGAAACCAGCCACAGGGCAGTCCTTGCCAAGGGAAGGGCACTTCCATCACTGCAGACTGTGTACACAAGAGAGGAGACTCAATCCTCCCCCAGAAGATAAAGAGATTTTTGGGTCCAGTTCCTACTAGATAGGGTTGCATGCTGCCTGATTTAGTAGGTAGCTGGGTTTTCCCAGCAGAAGTATGCAGGAGTAGACTCAGGAAGCATGTAAAGCCTCAGCTGCCAGCAAAGCCTTACAAAATTCTTTGTATAGATTAGTAACTGGGAAGAGAGGGTGAGTAGCTGTAAGTATAAAGCCAGTTTAAAGGATGGGTCATGTCTCTGGCACATGCAAGGACAAGGAAGGTGGCCAGAAACTTCAGAAAATCCTGTTCCGTGTTTGGTAACAGATAGACTGCTGCAATAAACTTTGTCAGCACAGCTGCAGCTCTTTCAGACACGGCAATCTCAATAAATCCACAGGAGATTCCTATCTGAAATGATCCAGATTCAGTTTTATGAGTGACTTTTATTACATGCCTCTGTACTCTGCACTTCTGGAAATCCTACAAATGGGTGTGCACTGTATACAGAGCACATGCAGAACTGTATGATAGTCAAAACAGAAGAAAATTACTATACGGTTTATGCAAACTAAAGGCCCTTACCACGTGCTTGTCCTACCTCTTTGTCAAAAACCAAATGAAAAGGGAGTCCATTGCAAAATGTTTTTGTGTCAATCCAGAGGCTCTTGGGATAAACAGGATCAAATCCTCTCAGGAGCTTACCTGTGGCAAGAAAAATATGTAGTTTTTAATCAGGCTGCACCTCATAAACCCAGTCAGCATTACTTTTTAGAACTCAGTGAGACAGGACCCTGCATCATGATGAGTGAAGACAAAGTAAACAGTGTGTGCGTCCAGAACTGTGCATCCATCTGTGCTAAATGTTCTGCAGTTAAATACACAGCTGATTAGCAACTAATCTCAGTTGGCTGAGAGTTTAAAACTTAACCACACAAAAAGCACAGAGCATTAGATGCATGAAATTATGTGGAAACAATAAGAATAGATGAACAGCCAGAGATGTTGCTGCTCTATGAATTCGCAGATGTCATAGCAATATAACACACAAAAATTTACACAGAAGTTGATTTAATATATTTTGCTAGCTATTAAGGAACACTTGCAGAGAAAAAACCCAGCATGATCTGGGTTTCAGTCTCCTCTACAAAGAATGCTCGTCCATAGCACAAAGACCAAATTGCTGTTTGGTTTCTATTTTACTTACCCTGAGTTTTTTTCAAAATGCTTACAAATCCACAGAGCAGGTTGTTCTTGCTAGCAAACAGATATTTTTGTAAAATGAATAAAATCGGTAAAATAGTCAAAAGAGCTCATCTGACTGAAGCACCCAAAGCCTTTGATCTTTACAGTATAAACTTGGATTCTCCAGTAACCCACAGTAATAAAAATGATGATTATTTCAAGTGATCTCTTTCCTCCAGAAGATGCCTATGACAGTTACTCTAGTAAAATTCTGCTTGCTAACAAATGCTCAAGTCACTTAGAAAACTAGTGGAAAAAAATTACAAATTTAGGATCCAATTTTTAGACGTCTTACTGCTTCAGGGGAAGTCAGTGTGGGTTTTTCAATTTCAAAGTCTGGTTCTTGATAACTCTTGCATTCATTGTAAATTTATTTTATTCTTTTTAAGTAATAATGCTACTCTAAAATTTTAGTTTGAATATATACTAATTTCTTACTCAATGTATCTGCTCTTGTTATGCATGTGTCATTGCACCTGATGACACCAGTTTCAATTTTTCATTCCTGACAGAACCCAGACAGCGTGGCAATACTGAGCTGGATTCTCACTCCTCTTGGGAAATCAAAAGATCCTAACTGAAAAAATCCTTCCATTTTATAAACATATATAATTATGAAGGCATAAACAGAGGTTACTAGATTAGCAGTAGATTTTTGGTAGCAGAGGGTGTAATCTGGCTTTCAGAATTTGCTACTGTTGATACCTTTGGAAAGGAGTAGCAGCTACCAAGTTAAAAAACACCCTTTTAAATTCATCATCTTAGACCCGGTGTCATGAGAAGGAAGTAACAAACAAATGTACCACACAATGACATTTTATAGAAGAATACTTTTCAGAAGAAGTGACAGGTTGTATTTCATTTAAGTATCTGTCATTACTAAGCATGCTTATTATCTGCAATTTTTCTTTGATTACCAACATCTAACCAAAAGAAACTTAACCATAAACATTTTGAAAAGACACAGATGAAATATGAATGATAACTTCAAAATGGATGGGTGGGTGGAGATAGGGAGGCTTACTGACTTTCTTACTGAAGAGACTCAGAAATGACAAGTTCCCTCTGAATGATCTCTCACCTTTTCCTAATGTAATTATTCCTCTTATTGTTTTCCAGTGACTTTTTTTGACAGGACAAACAGAACTTCCTTTGTCTCTAATTGTATTCTTGGCTTTTTCAAAGTCCTGTTGAAATAAATCCAAAGGGAAAATCAAGGGTGTTTTTATTTTAATCGTATTTTAATAATATAGTGATAATGAATATTAAAATACCTCTTTGTTCAGTTGGTTCTCAATTTGTTTTTCAGAGTCAGCAAGATATTGTGAGGAAGAAAATTCATTTCTTTCCTTGTATGAAAATACAGGGTTTTGAGTGACAAGAAAAACAATATGTTCTTTTTTCCCAGTTCGTTCTTCTTCTTCTGTTTGATTGATTATTTCCATTGAAATCTCAATGTTAAAAAAATCCAGAGCTGCTGCACCGATGATTCCTGAAGGGGAAACAAAAGTCAAAGTACTGCCAAGAACAAACCCTTTCCATCTTCTCTCTTAGAAGGCCCACAGTGGAATTTCATTGTTTCAGAAATCACTTTTCCAAAGGACTCTGGAAGAAGAAAGCAACCTGTGTCATTCCTACTACCACTGCCGTGATAAAAATATGCACGTAGGATATAAGCTTTAAAGTTACTGGGGTTTTTGTCTTGTCTGATGACAAATGCTTATTTTCACTAGAAGCAGCTCAGCAGGTTATCTGAGGAATGTGTCCAAATAGTCATACATAGCAATAATATGAATTCCCATTAACACAAAAAATGCACGGGGTCTAAAGAGATTCTGCTATAACAAGCTATTTCAGTCATTGCAGAATATTTTCTTTTGAAAGGAAGGAAATATCTTTCATGAAGATGCACAATTTCTGCTTAGCTATTAGATGAAATACTGGACAATGACATGAAAAGCTCTGAAATTCCAAATAGTTTTGCACTTCAATAGGAATATGAGTTTTGATAAAGGGGAAGTTTTGATAAACTTCTAAATTCAGCAGCATCTATGAAAGAAAGGAATATGATCATCTCTTACAGATTTACAACTGTTTAACCCTTGCACAAGTACCACTGTGGAGATTCCTATAAATGTCAGTAAAAGATTCAGTTTTGAGCAGGGTTCAGTAGTGGTTTTACAGATTGTATGTGCTGCAGGAGTATTTATCAATGGATGGATGGATGGATGGATGGATGGATGGATAGATGGATGTCTTTGAATCAACTATAATTTCTACTTCACTGTAATTTAAGGAGCACGAGTCACTGGGAACTAATCAACAGTTAGACACAATACATACCATGAACTTCTATTTTTTTCTTCCAGGAAGGGAATTATATAGGAGTTCTAAAGCAGGAATGAACACTTATGGTCGGGGTTGTCATATCATAAATCTTGATGGAAGCTACTAGGAGTGATCAGGCAGTACAGAAATACTGAGGTCAGATGTCTGGTGACTAAACTCTACCAGACTTCAATTCCATGGCCAGTCATCAATCAAAAAGATTCTGAAATCTGAGCAAAGTATAACTCCAAATATATGATAACTCTGTGTATATATTGTATTACCAGCAGATCTGTATGCTGCATTTTATCTGATTACCTGGCACAATATGGCACAGACCTCTTCTGTCTGAATAGTAATGTAAATGCATTGACCCATCTTCATTCTTTTCTACTCTAAAAGATGGTGCATTCATCTCCTGAGGAGAAACAAACAAAAACAAAGCCTCAATATCTTTTTCTGATAAAGAATACTGGTGAATTCCACTTGTACAAGAGCATCCCATGTCTTAATAAAATAAGCAATAATGTGAATAAGCTGAAGAACAGAAAATTAAATATGCTCACCTGTGAAGGAAAATCTACTATGCATTAGAGACAATGTATTAAATAATATCTAATATTGCGGACTACTCAGAACAAATTATTTAAAAAATTGTCCTAACGTTTTGGAGTAATCAGTTTCAGAACATAAGAGAGGCTGTTCTAGCATCTTTTTCTATTATTCACTCACACCTATGAGATGCTGCTGCCTGTGTTGTGAACTCTGGCAGAGTCTACCCATACCTGCTCAGTAATTACTACTCAAACTTGCCTGGTAAGAAAGGGACAGGTAGCTATGCAATGCATCCAGGTTCTCTATAAACTCGTAGAGATTTCCACCCAGTGTCCTCAGCATGTGGTCATAGCCTGAGCGTTTACAGAACTCAAAGAAATACCCTCCAAACTCTCTCAGAACCATGTCAGCAGGAACACCTGGCAAAATAAAGATATCTCCATGAGTAAGAAAAGCTTGAGAAGTTCTTGAAATGCTGTCAGGCTGATTAAGAGTGAATGCAAACATTTCCAACATAGAGAAGGCATTGCAAAGAGTTCAGGAGACTAAAACCTGGGTGCAGTCTCAGGCTTGATCTGGGATGGCTCATTTCTGAGGCATGGTGACACATACCTAATATTTTGCAGGCTTTGTCGAGGAGCTGCATTGTGATCTCATCTTTGTAAACCTCAAAAGTGAGGAAAGAATCCTGGACACCGGCCTGCAGTCTGCAACAGAGAAGACAATATTCTTGTCTCAGCAGCGCTGTAGATAAAACATGCTTGAGTGACCCAGCTGGCATTCGGTAAGCACTGTTTGCTGTTAACCCACTCCTTAACTTCCTTCAAGCATTATACTGGAACACGCTACTTCCCCTAATGGTTTAAGTGTTGCTTTAACATGGCTGAATGGTGGTGTCCACTTCTCCAATGTCACGTTACAGTATCATGGCGAGCTCTTCCAAGGATTAGGGCATCATACTGGGGGGAGCTAGAGCAAGTGGAGTCTTAGTTTGTCTTCTGGTCTACTGGCTTGTCATTCAATGTGGCCACAATATCAAGCTCTCAGGTCTCCACAGACTTGACCAAAAACTTGCATATGTTTTATACTGACTTCAAAGGCTATTATATGTATGTATCCAGGTATCACTTTGGTATCTTTATACATTGGAAAATAGCCTATAGCTCATAAAGTAAAGATAAAACCAGAGAAGTGATACATTTAGCTGCTTTTCTTAAAGTACTGGAATTAAACTGGCTTCATATCAAAGATGACATCTTTTCAGTGTAATTACTTCTCGATATTGTCACAGTGAGCCAGCAAATCTATTTCACAACTGTCTATACAGCTAAATGTCATCCTTAATTATCTGACATAACAGATTAATTGGGACAAATTAGTATCAGAGTATGAAGTGTTACAAGGTAAGAAACTCTTGGTTTTGCTCTGCTAGTTACTTTGAATAATTGAGATGCACATCAGCTGCCAGTAAGAAATTAGAATCCTCTGCTGCTAAATTCCTGAGCATTTTCTTTCAATACAGTGCATTTCTTGGGTACACGTTACCTTAATTTTTCCCATGTTTCTTCACCATACTTTTCAACAACCAAAGACTTCAGGCATGTATTTATAAATCCGTACTGCAAAAACAAATATACGAACATGGAAAAGGCACACTGATTTTCAAAAAGCAGCCCAAACATGCCACCTTTTTCGTATGTAGGATTCCACTGTCAATTTTGCATTGCAAAAGAGAAAGTAATAACGTTTGACAGCCGTTATGCCGTTCAGTAAACAGCAAAGCCTTTACCTCAGCATTCAGCAAAACAGAGCAAACACATCCAACCCTGTTTTGCAGATGAGGGCCCAGAGACAGCGGGTCGGGATCGGCTGGGCCATGCCTGGAGCCGCAGCCCCGCACGGCTGCAGCCCCGCGAGGTAGGTCTGGCTTTGCCGTCACTGTTATTTTTGGCGTTAGTACTGCCAAACCGTACACTGGAGATGGGGGGGGGGCTAGTCAAAAAAATAACCAGAAGTAGCAGTGTCACAGCAGCAACAGCCCACGGACGGTGTGGCCCAAGCCCCCCGAGGCACGGCGGGTTCGCACCGCGCCCCTGCCGCGGCAGGCGCAGGCTCTCAGCCGGCGGCTCCCCCGGGCCAGCGCTGACCGCCAGGA